CATTGGTCTAGATTAATTGGAGTTATGTACCTAATTGAGGTGGAGAAAAATGCTAGCCACTTTACATTGAAAAGAATCAAGATTTTAGTTGCACTTGAGACTAATTACTGCCTCTAGTTTTAATTGTTTCTTTCCCTGTGAAAGACCTAAATATCTAGCCATAACCACTTTCTCGTGCCCATGTTCCCTGTCTCCCACTGGGTGTCCTGCTGTTTCCTCAAACTGTATAGACTCCAAGTCAGGTTCATTCAATGAACAAAATGAAATTTGCTGCATGATGTATATGCCAGACCCTGTGCTTCCAAGCTAGAGCTAACACCGTGGTTATGAAAAATCCCTATGGGAAGGAGCTCCTAGGTCCTATCTCCCCACCGTTAGCCATTTCCCAGGTTTTAAAGTACGTAATTCAGTTATAAACACTGTCTACACTGGGTTGCCATAGAAGTGCATGACTTAGATTCTGGAGTTCATAATTTATTGATATAGCAGTCCTAAGATAAAAGGAGTAAGGTAAGCAAGCCTACTAGAGGAAGGAGGTAAAGAAGGCCGTGGCTCTAGCGGGAGTTCAGCCTCAGCTTCGTGTGTCTCAGGCTCTAGAACATAAATAGTACCGTGGAGTTGATCCCACCTTGAGGGTAGAAGGGTTGGCTTTTGTTCATCATATCAGGTAATCATTGACTGTGGGCTGCTCTCTCGAGAGTGCTACGTGTAACCTCTCAATGTTTATGCTCCCATTCTTTCAGCGGATGGCAATTTTCCAGAGAAGGCAGGCAACTGTGAATCGTTACCAGACAACTCTCCAGCAGCTGGGGGATTATACGCACCAGCTGGCATGGGACACCTGTCTGGCTACCAAGCGTGCCTACTATAAACATTGGCGCTCCTCTGACCGCTCAAGGTCACAACTCCTTCTCCTGCCGAGCCATACTGCATTGGGTACTAAAGCTTGAAAATCCTTCCTGTAGGCTTTCTTTCTTGTGTTCCCATCTTATGTTTTCCTAGCCAGCCCCTTGGAAAAGTCCAAGTTCATACTGACTCACGCTTAATCTACAATCATATTTGCCTAACTAGTCTCAAGATTTCCGGAGGCACAGGTGGTCAGTGCCATGGTGGGGACCGAGGTGGGCATGTTGTAAGGGAAGGGGCAGCCCTGCCCAACTCCAGGTGCGGGGAACGCACCCAGTGTTGCAGATCTTCTATTGTAAGAGAAATCAGAAATCCAAATTTTTATGTGAAGTCTTTTAAATTTTATATGTGGTATCTAATTTTAAGGTTTTTTTTGTTTTAAGTCCTATGGGAGATAAAAGGAAAAAAAACATATCTAGAGGCCATATGTACACACCACAGCCATTTTGCAAATTCTGGCTAAAAGCCTATGAGAACAGCTGTCATGTAAGTAAATGACTATGGTTCAAAGCAAGGGGAGGTAAGTGTCAAAGGAGACCCAGGTAAACTACTGAGGGGCTCCAGCAGAAAGGAAATGACGCTGAGCCCGCGTGGGTAAGGGGCATTGTCTTTGCTGGACTTCCTACCTCTGGTTTCTAGCACAGTACATGGCACATACAAGTCCTAAACAAATGTTTGAGTGAATAAATGAACAAAGGAGCAAGGGAGCGCGTATCTCTGAATGTCCTTCGGTGCAATGGAGCAACACTCCAGGTCAAAACCGAGCCATCATCCTAGCATCTACCAAGCACACAGTTCAGGCTGTGACACGCTGTCCTCTGAGCTCCTGCGAGCCAGGGTCCCTCAGACGCAGTCCCCGCCTCCCTTCTCTCACCCTCTCCTCTACTACAAAAAGTACACGTCAGTGTATTGCCAAAGACTACTTCTGAGCTTTCAGGCAACAGCAGTGAACAGAGAAGAGGCCAGAATCAGTGTGTAGCGCTGGACTTTGGCCAGGTCCGTTCGGCAGGGTGTATGGCACCAGTGGCCACCACAATGGTCTCAGCCTCCTTCAGAAGTGCCCTATACGCAGTAACATTCCCCAGTATGAGTAGCTCTTTGTTTTCATGCCACAGAATCCTGACTCTTGTCCTTCTTAGGGGTCTGAGTCAAAGCAGCTCTTGGAGTCATGGCAAACTGATGGGGGCTTAGGCCCGAAGTTCACTGCCATCTGGCAGGGCTCTCCGCCTGAGCCGGCAGCGTCATCTAAGCCCCAGGGTGGGACCTGAGCTGCCAAAATGCCACTCCAGAAAAGCTCAGCAGGGCTGAGGCCAAGGAAGCACAACACCCAGTTGGCTGCCTGCGGGATCTCAAGCCCTTTTCCAGAACAATCCACGTTCTGGTGCGTCTTTCCCATCATAAGGGAATAGTTACCTAGCAATTTGCGATCAGATGTTTCCCTACCCTAATAGGCACCTAAACTGGAGGCTTTTTCATCAAGTGGGCACACGTGTTTGTTGTCTGGCCTGTTTCTCTAGGACGCTTCTGTATTTTCCACTAGGATGGAAGTTGAGTGTGGGAGAATCTCTACCTTCTGGAATTCTCTGTTGGTCCAGCTTTAGAAGGGGGTGTTCAGGACTCTCCTCTACCCCAGGTTATGTTAATCAATCCTGAATGCAAGCAGTATTGTGCTGGGCTGGTTATTTGAACTGCTCCTCACAGCCCTCTTGTCTCCTGCTTTGCACTTAAAAAAAAAAAAAAGTTTGTTTCATTACATAATTGAAATTCTTTCCACTGTTTGCAGAATTAGCTTTTGATGAATTACCTTTTGCTAAGTGGCCTGCCTCTGCCGTCCTCCTTTCTGCCCCTAGAAAATACCTATTCATCTTTTGCACCCACTTGGCAAAACCCCAGTCTTGGAGGAGTCCAGCTCTCCACTCGCCTTGCCTGTGCCCTGAATCACTTACCACTGAAGAAAATCAAACAATAAACTGAGTCCTAGCCCATTTGCTTGTTCTCTTTTCAGCAGACCCAGGCAGGCCTCTTCCTGGAATCAGAGGAATTGGAGCTGTCAGACAGGAACTTGCCCAGACGCCTGCCTGCCCCAGGCCCGACTGTGATGACGCCGTGTGCCCGCCCTTCCTCTTGTCCCCCTCTGCGGAAGTGTCCACTGGGGTCGGCAGGTCTGGGGCTGGCCTCCCACATCCTTCTGTCTTCAGCGGCTCCCTTTTCACTTCTGCTTCCCAGCAGTGTTTGAACATGTCCATCTCTTTCTATACCCAACAGCCCCAAATGGTCCTTGTATCTGGCGTCACTTTTTGTTTGCTTACCCTCCCAGTTTCCTCCTTCAGCCCCAAACTCCAGCACCATCTCAGCCTGCTGCCACTGTGCCTCACTTTCATTGTCAACCCATTGTCCTCTGACTGCATCTCCTATCAATTTTCCCCATGTTGCCAAATCCACTGGACAATTATCTTGCTTGACTTCAGCAGCACCTGATACAGTTGAGCCCCGTCCCTCCCCGTGGCCTCTCCCAACACCTCTCTCCCTTTTGCTCTCCTGTCTCCTGTTTTGTGCCTTCACTGTGTCCTTACTGCCCTGCCTGCGTTGTGATTTTTGGAGTGTATGCCAAGGGGTTCTATGGTTCTATCCTAGGGGTCCCTCTTCCCTTATCATTGCATTCTATCTCACAGAATTTAACCGATTCTTGTGGTTTAATTTGTCAACTGTATGCTGATAGCTTTTAAAATAATTTTGTTTTATTTTTATAAAAGTGAGGCATAAACATGAAATAAATCAAAGAATTCGGAACATTTATGAATAAAATTCTGTGCTCTCTTTGTGCAACCCTTCCTCACCCAGAATCCCACAGATCCAAAGCCCCCTTTTGATTTATGGTGGTTATTCCATGACTCTAAACAGCATTATTGTATTTCTATTTCATGACTGATCACAGTTAGACAATGTCTATGGATATCCCAGTGTGAGAGGTGAGGAAAGGGCTCACTTAACCCTCATCTCTTTCTTCAGCCACTGTGGTGTCTCCCATTCCTTTCTACCAGTTTTCTTTCTAACTTGAGTAAGAATTAAATCTCTACCTTCAACAGTATTTCTTAACTCCCCATTCTGTAAGATGAGACTAGGAACAGCCCTGTCTTCCCTCCCCTTCCTACTGCTGTCTTGCATCAACTACACTTGGACTTCATCATTTCATTCTTAGTCTTCCACCATCACTAACGCTCTCTTGTTTCACATATACATTCATGCTAAAAGATAGAAACCAACAACCGACATTATGTCACTGTTACTTTGTAACTGGTTTGCTGCTGAGCTAACTGGTGGGTTGAAATTACATTTCCTTCCCTGATTTCATGACCTCTGTGACACGGCTGGACAATTTCAAACATCAAGGTCAAATGGATTAACTTTTACTCCCCAACTATTTAAAATTATGCAACATCATAATGTTCATTTTAAACTAACGCCCTTCGTATGTATTTTCACCCAGTATTTCAGATTGCTGTCTTGATTTCGCGCATCATTTGCTCGGATCACCTCCACGTTCTCAGACTCTGCATCCCACTAGTCCAGGCGGCTGCCTTTGCCCGGGGCCGCCTGCTCCAGTCTGGCCGACCTGCCCGGTACCTCCTGCAGACTCGCCCATCCTAGGGCTTCCCTTCCTCCCCTGGGTCTGTGATCCTTTGTCCTGCATCCGCCTTTGCTCTCCTGGGGGTCACTCTCGGGTAACTTCTTTTAAAGGGCCGTGGATGGGGAACGTGATCGGATTCTTTGCTCGGTTTTGTTTTGCTGTCCCTCGGGCCCGGGGCCTGGCCCACTGGGGTCTCCGAAGGGTGCACCCCTCCTGCCTCCCAGCCGCCAGGGGTGCGGCTGCAGGACTGATTCTAGTTCCTTCGTAATTGATAACTTTCCCGTTGAAGCCCTTAACTTGATCTCCTCCAGCTGGTGCCGTGCCAGCGCCCGCGGAGGCGCCTAGGGCAGGGCCTCCCCGCCCGGGGCCCCTCGTGGAAGGGCCGCAGCCGGGCCCTTGACATGCGCAGCCCGCGCGCCCGGGTCCCGCTCCCGCCCGCCGCCCCGGCCCCCAAGCAGAGCCGGCGTTCCTGGCGCGCGTGCGGCCGAGGCCCCCACGGTGCTCGGCCCGGGCCCGCCGGCCGCCCGGGACGCACGGGGTCCCGAGAGCGCGGAAACGCGGCCTCCTCCGGGGAGGACGCCCGGCTGCTGCCGCGGCCCCAGACGGCGGCCCTGAGGTAGCGGCGGGCAGCGGGGCGGCGGGGCGGCGGCGAGCGCGGCTGCCCGGGAGGCTCGGGGCGCTCCGTGCGGCAGCGCCCAGCCCCGCGGCTGCTGGGGGGTTATTGCGGGTGCCGAGAGGTTCCTGGGCATGAACGGGACCCCCGGGGTGGGAGGCACACGGAGTGCAGCCCCGGGGTGCACACAGTGGGTGCAGCCCCGGGCGCCACGGACCAGGGTGGTGCCTGGACCGAGTCTCACGAGCTGCAACTCAGGCAGCCCTGGGAGAGTTTGCTGGTCGGTTACTGTTTTATTTTACTCATTCCCATTTTCAACATCTAGGAGCTCTTTCTTGGTCCCTGTTCATTCCTTTCTCGTGCCATCCTGTTCTTGTTTGAAGGCTGTAATATTTTCTCAACATCCGTGAAATATTAGATTTTTTACATTTTCTGCTATAGTGCTTAAGAGGACGGCCCGCAGAAGCAGAAAGCCCAGGTGTGAATCTCAGCTCCGTCGTGGCTTTGTGTCCTTGGGGAACTTGTCTTAGTTTCTATCTTGCCGTGTTTTTTTTCTTCAAACACATACAAAATACATCATACAAAAGTGCAGTAATTGCAAATTATCGATTTATTAAACTTGGAAGAAGTATGAACATACTTTATGACTCTAAAAAGAAAATTTTACATTTTCAGTACTCAAGTCAACTTACCTCCCACTTCTAAAAGTTGTACATTTTTGGTTTAAAAAATATCACTCTAAAAGGGTCCCAATTAAATTTTTTATGCCATTAAAAAATCAAAATATCTTCCAAATCTACTGTGTTGAATGAAATAATGTTTGCAACATAAACTTATTTAAATAGTTTTCACATCAGTAATAGGCCAATTAATATATAAACTAAATGTACTCAATATAAATAGGAAATACTAATGGTAGTATCACAATGGAACTTAAAAGCTGTCAATTCACATACAATAATCAATTAATTGATTAGGCTAGTGAAATTTAAATATGATTAGTCACTGTATTTCTCAGAATAAATTATGCTGACCTCCTCATCAACTGTACACCAGTTTCATTATCTCCCATTCTCTATTCTTCTCATCTCTGAGTTGGAATAGCTCTGTGAAGAGCATGTAGAAGTGGCCCAGGATCGGTGGTGGTGTATCTTTGATTTCTGCTTCTGACCCCTGGTAGGTTTGTAAAGCCTAGAGGGATCTCTACTAACATGTTTCACTCTTCATTTTTCCAGTCTTCTTTGTTTTTCTGCCTTTTCGTCTTCCTTTGCCTGCCCGCATAGAATTGTCAGTTCAGATTTATGTAAATCCCTTTCTTGACACCTGAAAATTTCAGCAGCAGCAATTTTCCTGTTTTCTGTTTTCCCCTTATCTCCTTTTCAGGCCTTGAAAGTTGTTTTTTCTTCTGGATGTAACTTGCTAATACAAATTTTAGTTTAAACTGTCATTGGTGCTCTTTCTGCTGTTTTTTTCTTTCTCTTCTTTTAAATATGGGAAACATATTTCGTTGACCTTTATGCACTTTTTTTTTTTGCATTCTGTTTTTTTTTATGCATTCTGTTTTTTGCAAGTTTCAGCTGGTAATTTCTGTCTATTCTTTGTTCCTCTTTGTACTTTTGATCACCTTCTTGTTTACTGTGAAGTAAACGTACATAGATATGTCCTCTGCTTTTAACTTGAATAGATATGTCCTCTGCTTTTAACTTGAAGATTTTCTTTATTCCCTCTGCTCTAGTTTTCCAATTCAGAATTGACATTTTTTTCTTTTTTCTGGAATCAGAAAATTTTATACAATTTCTCATACTGTTATACTTTATCCTGCATTCTCCCAGGGTAAGGTTCTAGAACTTCTCCCATAAATGTTGGCTTCTCTTTATGTTTATTTCTCACTTTTTCTTCCCTCATAATTGTCTAGTGCTCTTGTCACTCTCCTGTTTGCTGAGTAACTTTCAGAATCTACCATTTCTCCTGGAAGAATATGTGATACTTTGTCCACAGGAACTCTGGCTGAAATTGCTTTGAAAGCTCCCTGTGTTTCTGACAAACTGACAAAACCCGTATGTCAATTGTTCTGGATATGGAGGTCAATTCATCATTAATTGTTTTCTCTTTTTTATTTGATCTTCATATATCAACCTCTGCTCTTACTGAAAAGTGTTCATTGACTTTTTAACTTTCCATTATTTCTCTGAGCTTTATATTTATATTTATGAAATCATGAAAAATCACTATTTTTTTTCTCCCTGCTGGGTCACTTCTTTTCCCTGCTGCTGAAATCTTTTTACATCATCATTATGTATTTTGGCCTATTGTTGCTGGATTTTTGCTTTTCCTATTTTCCTGCTGATAATTTACTTCCAATTCTTCTACCACACTATGCTCAGTAATGAAGTCTTCAGTTTTTAAACTCCTTGTAGAAATTTCTGTGTTTATCTTTTTCTGCTACTAACTTGATTTTTTAAACTTCTGCTGTGTGTATGATCTTTGCTTTCTTAGTCTGACTTCTTTTCCACTTCTAGTTTCGATGCTGAAAAGGTCCAATTCGGTCTGACGTACGGGAACAGCCACCATTCTATGCCAACACTTCCATGAGGGCAGCCGTCTTTCCCATAGAATCTCTGGGATCTCCGACCGGACAGCCCTAACGGTTCAGGCAGAGGGCGCTATGGAGCCAGCAGACGGGATGTGTGTAGCCTGTGGATGCTCCGCAAGGAGAGGTGGGTGCACTGCGCCTTAATTTTTTGTCTATAAAATGGGGTAGTAAGTCCCTACCTCATAAGGCTATTATCATTGAAATTATTATATGTAAACTCAGAATAGTTTATAGCTCAAATTAGCATCTCTAGTTCCTCAAGTCAGTGTTTCTGCATGTCAGCCTTGCTGATTGTTTTTAGTGCGGCTGGCATTTCTCATTTGCCTCATTGTCGCGGATGTCCAGTTGTGCTGTAAAAAGGCTTGGATCACTAAAGCTTTCCCTGCTGTTGTATGACCAGGATGGTTTTCCTCACAAGTCCCTCAAATGGGAAGAGTTTTGACTGAGCGTGCCATGCACATTGCTGGTCTAGACGCGTACGTCCACAATACACCTTCACTTTAGGGGCTGGTGAGTGGGGCTGAACGTCAGACTGTGGATGGCTTTCATACATATCTAACCCTTTTTACAGGTTTTCAGCTAATATGCCATTAATGGGGACTGGTGATGATATCCTGGGGTGATGGATATTGTGAAAAGAATGTACGAAATACAAATAAAGTCTTCACCCAAGTTCTGCACGTGATAAGAGAGAAGAATCAATTGCTCAATTGCAAGTGAAATGTTTTTATCACTGAAATAGTGTCCTAAGATTTTTTTGAAAGTGACAGGCTATTGACTTGCTAGAATGGGGGAAATTATAGAATCACTGCGATTTCTTTGTAGAATTTTTTTCTAGAATTCTAGAATCACTTGTGATTTATTGCAGATTCTTTAATGTTGTTGATTCAAAAATAGGACAAGAACTTTAAAATTTGTTCCCCTGAGGTAATGGTGTGTGTCTGGGCCACAGGAGAGGAGAACAGGTAAAGGAGGATATTTTCTTCAGTACACAAGCCCTATGAAGCCAAAAGTGGACTAAGAACTTCCTGCACTAGTCTTAGAAGGTGCTCAATAGCATTGCATGTTTCTCTACTGAATTAGATTTTAATCTTCCTGTGATACCATTTGTTCTTTCCTTGCTGGCTTGAAGTAAGACTTCCCTTCCGGAATTCCACCAAGTTGGTTTCCTATAGAGCAATTTACAATCAAGTATTTTCATTAACATTTCATGAAAAGAACACTTAATGAACATTCAAGATCAATAGATTTCTAAGGCCGCTTTTCCTTCTTACTTACTATCTGACCTTAGAAACCAGTGTTCATACCAAGCTCGCACTTCCTAAACAATTCACATTCTTGGAAGGTAGAGAGAGATTCTTACAGTGTAATGGGTGTCCTGTCATTCAGAGTATTCCAGAAGATGCTTAAAAACCACTCTTAAGACTTTTGTGGAATTTTTATGTAATAAGAAGATTGGATGCAATGGTTCCCAAAAAATCTCTCCAAACCGTGAGACTCAATGATTTTCTGCTTTAGTTCTAAGGAAAGAAGCTAGAGATGGAATGAGGAAGGGGATCAGCTTGTTACATAGGCCTGCATTTATTTCAGCCTTGGTCTCTGGAGTTGCTCCAGGCTTTCTACTGCTGTGCTCCGCCTGTCCATTCAGACTCCATCCAGAGTTACACGCTTTCTTGGTTATCTTTCTGTTTTCCCATCATGTACATATAAGTATTCTTAAGTCAAAGGCAGATGCACACCATTAGCTGGAGGGGTAGCCAGTCAATGCAAGCACAAGATTTCTTTGAATCCTTATTCTTCATTTAAAAAAATCTATGGCAATTTAAAATTATACATCATATCTGTTTTGGTTTTAATATAAAACAGTATTTTAAATGATCAGTCACAAGGGGCAGGGGAGGTGAATAACTTGATCCAACCATCCAGGAAGATATGCCTCCGGTTTTCTTGTATGCTCAAGGCAAGTGCACTATTGCTTAAGGACCTTAGGTCAACATGTTGGACTGGACTCAGGTTCATTATCCATGATTTTCTCACAACCCTCAGACCTGCTTCTGCAAGGCCCACGTTCTCCAATATACCATGTCCCCACTCCACGTGGAAGGGGCAACCGTGCCCTGGGAGAGGGGCATCTGTTAGTTAAATAGCCCCTCTCTGTTCATTCATGCTTCTCCTTCACTTGATTCTGTGAGCTGTTTACAATGACATATTCTAGTAGAATTACTTCAGAAGCTGTTTTAACTGGATCTGAATGTACCTCACTGAAGTAATAAAATCCTTGCCCTCGAAAAGGGGTGTATATTATGTGTTACATGTTGCTGCAGTTCATGATGTGTCTTTGGAGAAGAATGGTACATTTTATATAGTTTGCCAAGGACAATTTCAAAATGCATAACATCATTAATCTCACTGACAGCATCTCTAACGGCCTCACTCTATAAGAGTTTTGCCAAATGCAGACTAAGATGCCGACAATCATACATCTGCTCCCAACCGATTGTTTCAGATGTATCATCTGGTGAAAAGAAAACCCAATTCAGGAAAAGAAGTCATCCTTGAAGCATTTCTTCTCTAATTAAGTCAACAGATGTTGTTTGAAGTGCATACCTGGGGAGTTTATTACTGAGTTTTAAAAAGTAGGAGGAATCCACAGTTTTGCCTTCCTAATAACTGTTGTTTTTATCAGTGTAGCCAGCCTGGTAATGACTGGTAATGATCAAGAATCTGTGATGGCTGTCATTTTCAACCGTTTGAATGGCGTTTACTGAAAGCACTGTTACTCGCGTCATCGTCTGTAGCTCATTGCTCCTGGGTAAGATGTCTGATCTCCCTCTTGTGATGGGAGGCTGGACAGAGCTGGCCTGGTTCACGTAGGCTCAAGGGACTGGGCAGACAGCAGAGGCTTTCACGGCTTCTGTGACTGCGGGGAAGTGAAGAACACACAGCAAAGTCAGAGGTCTAAGTCAGAAGTGCGCAGCTAAACCCATTTCCCAGGCAAGAGCCTGCAGCAGGCAGCGGGTGACTGGTACAGCCTGTGGGTCCACAAGCCAGTGAAAATGGAAACAAGCACCCGCCACTAGGAAGGGGCAAGGGAGATGGTAATCCTGGCAGATAGCCGGAAGGTGAGCTCTTGCTGCCTTCCTGTGAGAGGCCAGGACAGAAGGGGACCCGGTTACCCATCTAGGCTTCTGTTTCTTTATCTGTCTCCCACACTCCCTGTCCAGCAAGGGTGTGGAGAAGATCGAATTCTATCTTATATGTGAAGTCTAATTTTCATTGTTTTTATGGTTGAAATTTGTGATATGATTAAGAAATATAGGGAAAGATGGATAACCTGACAAAATGAAGCTCTGTGTTAAAACTATTTTCTTTTGTTTTTTTTTGAAAGAACAAAATAGGACAAAGCATTTGGGTATGTTATTTTCTGTAAATCTACTCTTGTTCGTTTCTAACAACGTGTTTAATTAGCATCTGTGATTGCTGAACAGTTGTCATAGTCATAGTTGGTGAACAAACTGTTCTATTGATTGTTGCTGTGGCAAGTTCTGGTAGATTCACAGATCAAAACTTATATACAAGGGAAAATCCCAGTATGAAAGAATTGGATGTTTTTAAACACCAGGTCTTTAAATTATCTACCTATCTTTAAACTATCTACCTTTGACAGTTTTAGTGTCTTGATTAAATATTTTATGATGATACTACTTAAGATAAAATGTAAAAGCTAATTTATTGTGACATCTCTTCATGTAAAAGGTTCCCAAGCTGATTTATTACCAAGCTGAAGCATGTCAGTGAACACAACCACGTCTAAAGAGACTTAGCAATTTCCTTCCACACTCCTAGTCAAACAACTTCTACTAAACGACTTGTATGAAAAACAGGGTCTTTAATTTTACAAGACTCCACTTTATTTTCCTATGATATATTCTTTAGTTTCATTCTCCAATTCAATTTACTACCTGCTATGTTCTGTACTAGGTAATAAATTTGGAACACTATGCCCAATTATAATTCATTTTAATGCCTGCACATTTGAGGAAACTTAATGTTGAAGATTCAGGCATAGTTCTTCTCAGACTTGATTCTTCAGTCATCATCTTCTACTTAACAGAAAAGTAGTTAATCAGTTTCCAACTCGATTCTGTATTTTTCCAAGTTTTCTAATTGCCTCTCACCCTAGTGATTTTTTTCTTCTGGTAAATTTGTTATGTTATGTCATCCCCCCTTTTGATGGGGGGAAATTTTATATATATACACACACACACACACACACACACACACACACAGTACATATATAGGCCTTATAATTATTAAAGGACTTGGAGGAAAAAATATATACACTACATATTATATAATTATTTCATCATAGTTTAGTTGGGGCAGATAGGGTTAAGGGACTACTCCTAATGCTTTATTTATAACTATAGAAAGACCTAGTGAAATGGAAAACTAATAACACAAATAGAAAAAAAACTGTTTTCATCAATTTAATGTACTTACTTTTTATTTCATCTAAAAAGTATTTGAGATGGATTATGCAGAAGGAAAGGAGATCTTTACAATATGGTTCATAAAATAGAACAAAAAGAGGGGAAGCCCATGCCAGCCAAAAGCCAACGGAGTCGCTGTGTTTGAGTGTAAAACTTGTAGCTTCCTCCAACCTTGATGAAGAGGGAAACTGTAAATTGTAAAACATCCATTAAATATCACGATGAAATAACTGCCTGCACATATTTGGGAGATGACATTTTCCTGGTGAGAGACATGGCTCCAGTGCACCAAGAGAGGGAATAAGGTATCAGTGATAATCTGAGTTTTAGATTCACACCAAATAAATGTACTAAATTTGCATGATTAATTTTGAGAACAACCTAAGATAAAAACTCATAGCCAACAACTGAGAGGCAGTTGTAGAGATGCGATGACAGAGATGTCATTGTCCCAATGGGCAGCCACCTTGTGACCTGACTTGATCCAAGGAGGTTGGTGCTGGGTGCTGGGGCACATTTGGGAACAAAATAGCCATAGTCTCTGCCTTTGTGGGGCTTACATTTTGTTAGAGGAGTCAGAAAAATCAAGTAAAAGATTTAAGAATAAAATAAGTACAAATTGTGATAGATG